CTACTTCTAACTTCCAGAGACGAAAAGAATTAACATCTTCTGAACGGCTGAAGTATAAAGATACAATATAATGCTAAAACATAACGAAAAAGAAAATGCAAGCATGGATGATGTAGTGGTATGGCATATAAAGAAGAGTAAAGCAGTATATATGATATAGGCTGGCTAGATAGTTGAAAGACTCCTTCATATCAAAATCTCCAAAAGATAAATGAGATGAGCTGTCTCCATGACCACAGATGGAGAACATATTTAAGAAAGAATGAATGATATTGCCATTATGGAACACGGGCTGACAATGCTGATGAGGAGAATGCTAGAGGCAGAAGGGACCCGATATGCTGTTCACTTCAGCCTCCTCATCTGGCACCTCAAACAACTGAGGCACAGTTTTATGGACACACAGCTAGCTGGTCAGGATGACAGGTTGGCTGTGGGACAGAGATGAAAATTTCTGTCTAAACAGGAGTAGTCCTGAATGGAGGGGCTTAGGGGTTGAAAGATCAAGTTTAGTTCATTGAAGAAGAGAGCCATCCCACAGAGCTGGGTGACATGCAGCAGGTGCCAAGGTTAGTGAGATTAGCAGGGAGTAGCAAGTGTGAGCTGCCAAGGTTTTACTTTCAAAGCTTTTAGGAATCATGTCTGAACTGTGCATACCTGAGGGCACAGAAAGAGGCCAGTGACCAGGGAAAGGCAGGAACTCACTGCAGAGAGGATAAATACCCTGAAGACAGGGCTGCTAAGACTACCTGGGGGCCTGGGAAGTGCTGTGAGAACCTGGGTTGCATCACTCACCAAATACTGCTCCTTGCCCCAAGCTCCCTGTAGGGAGACTGCCACTAGGCTGACACGGAGTTGTGAACAGAACTCTGCCACCACCACATGGTGGCAGCAGAAAGCTACTGCCTAGATGACAGGCATGCTGACCAAAACTGCAACCAAAATGAGCCAGAGCGTATAGCCTATACCACAGGGCTATACTCACGACTTGAAAAGTTTACAACGTTGCCAAGAAAAGGGAGTTAAAAGGGAAGCTAAGAATGGAGACAGTGAATCGTGGATGAATCCAGTTCAACTTATATTGCATATTCTTTCCTCCGAAGATTCGAAAGAAGGACAGTCATTTTATCTATTTTTCCAGTTAGAGGGTTGGGATGGGGAGAACTCTGACCAGCCCTGAGGAAACCCAAGTAATGGAACGTGTTTCTGTTGACCTCTCCCAGGCCTATTTGCAAAGAGGGGTGAAAGTGATTTGCTTTTGGCAGGATCTGGATGTGTCATAACGAATGCAGGAAGCCCCTGGCCTAGTGTGTGTGTGAGAGATGACTGGGGCCTCTTTCCAGATTTCTGACAAGCTAGAATATCCATTTCTTCTCTGTTCATGCCACATTTATATTTCCCATCTGTCCCATACAACAATCTGCCCATTATCTATATTACAAATGAAGGCTGCCTTTGATTTTTGATACATTAAGGGCTAATGTGTCTAGGACTGATGCTGACATAGAAGATTCAATAATTGCCTCAACTACAAAATCTACTCTGTTCTTCATTTCTATCTTCACAGTCAAGAACAAACATCTGCCCTCAACCCCTTGCCTGTTCCATCTCCCCCAACCCCTCTTCATCCTGCTGATCCCTGCAGAACCATCATCATTCCTGGCTCCTTCATGGTCACTCCTGAGAATTAGAGTATGAGGCAGAAGGCTACAGTAGGCCAGCTGGAGCTCTGTCATTGTGGTTGACACTCTGTATCATGGAGGCTGTCTTTGGCAAAATATCCTGAGCTGTTCCTAGAGCAGGAAAGAGGGTTTAGGATAGGGATAGAGGTGGCTCACCTTGGCAAGCCTAGCCCTCTTCCACTTCTACAGCTTCTACTGTAGTCACTGCTTATATCCTGCCTCCAGCTAAGGCCGGTTTTGACCTTGTGAAAGTCAGGCCAAAGCCTATCACCGAGGAACAGCTACAAGTTTTACCGCCTTGCTATCCTGCTTAGAGTTGACAGACAGCTCTAACTTGCAGTTTTCCCTCAGTGTCAAGCCCTGTTTTTGCAGATCGTAACATCTTATTCCTCTGGTCACTGGCTCACAGGCTTGCTTTTTGTTTGCCACTCACCTGATCTGAGTTTCTAGCCCATGAAATACCCGTCTTCTAGCCTAAAATTTTGAACCCTGCTGCCTGTACTTTTCTAGTTCAGACCCATTGTCACTCTGGAATACACAGACAGACAGACAGACACACACACACACACATACCCCACACTGTCCTCATGGCTCTCTGATCTCCATTATCAGGGCCACCTATCTCTGACCTGGAGCACACAAGGCAACTGAAGCCCAAGAGGAAAGACTGCATGGCTCAGTGTTAAAAAGGGCTTGTCTGAGGATCAGTTGTTTCCTTGAATGTGAGTTCTCGCCCTGGGTCTCTGCCTTTGAGTGAGCAGCACTCTTCTTTATTCTAGTGACAAGGAATTCCTTTCTACTGTAACTTGCAGTGCTAATAACAAATCCCATCTTCATCATTTTGATCCAGCAGCACCTCTAGTGTACCTGTGCATCACCACCTCTGCAAGAGTCCTACCTCCTCTTCTGGAACATTACTACCCTCTCCCGAACTACTTCTTGACTTCCAGGACTGCTGTGAAACACTCCTGTGCTGGATAGTTTTAGTGTCAAATTGACACACCTGGGTTGAGGGAGCCTCAATTGGGGAATTGCCTCCATTGGACTGGCCTGCGGCCATGTCTGTGGGGCATTTTCTTGATTGTTGAGTGATATGGGAGGACCCAGCCCACTGTGGGTGGTGCCACGCC